GCAATTTAGAAATATATTGCGCAAAAGGATTAAAACTAAGAGATACCATCCTGAATCTTATGACACCATATTTCGATTTGTGGCACCATTTGTATATGGATAATTATTATAATAGTGTGGAAAATAGTCAAATTTTATTGAAACATAAAATTAGAATATGTGGCGCTATTCGTATAAATAGAGGTGTACCAGTATGTTTAAAAACTGTACAACTAAAAAAAGGAGAGACCGTTTATCGCAGAAAAAAAGATGTTTTGGTACAAATCTGGAGATCCAAAAATGATGTGCGAATAATATCAACAATCCATTCCGCAGAAATGAAAGAAAGTAGAAATATTGATAGGGCTACAAAAGAAAAAATTATAAAACCCGTCGGGGTAATTGATTATAATAAATATATGAAAGGAGTAGATCGAGCCGATCAGTACATTTCGTACTTCAGAATCGCAAGAAAAACTAAAAAATGGACAAACAGGGTATTCTTCTATTTGTTAAATTGTGCCCTTTTTAATGCGTATCGTGTATATAACAATTTAAACACAATGAAGATGCGATACAAGAAGTTTTTACATGCGATTGCACGTATGTGGATAACCGACGATATTCAAGATGTAGACGACGATGAAGAAAACCCTGGACCATCCGAATTGCGGACAAGACGCGCACCAAAATTAGATCCGCCAACAAGATTATCACAAGACATGAAACAACATATATTGGAAAAAATAATAGGCACTGGAAAAATACGCCATCCTCAAAGACGATGCCGTGTGTGCGCTAAACATAATAAACGGAGTACAACGATTACATATGCAGACACTGTAACGTTCCACTTCACAGGGGTAAATGTTTCACAAAATTCCATACACTTAAACATTATTAGTATACATATATGTTATATATACATGTATTACATATGTATTTTGTTTGTAATAAAAATTCAAACAATAAAATTTTTATGTAAATGCATTGAAATAAAATTTATTTTGAAATAAACTTTGTGCTTTTGCATAAAAAAAAGCTTTTTTGAATGGAGCAGTATCTGTCAAAAAATGTAGGCTACAGGCATAAATTTGCGCGCAAACAAGCCGGACCGTAATGTGTTAAGAACTTTCGAGAAAATGGGCGCAGTTTTTAACCTTATCACTACCACAGGGACACATATGTCCCAAACAACGTCTAAACAATAACTTATGGGAAATGAAAGCACTTAGAATTTTTCTACTTTCGTTCTTTTTTCGTTTCTTTCTTTGACTACATATGCTACATGTGGATAACTGTTTAGAACAATGAATTTTTACGCGATAAGGTTTTTAATTTAGTACGGTAAAAGTAGAAAAATCCTATTTTCTGAAAAACTGATCCTTCGCAGTTTCTTTAATCCGGACAACAAAACAAACATTGCCACGATAATTAGCGTGTCCGATAGTCTATGTGTCATGTGCTTTTCAGGTTCACAGAGCTCAGGTCTGGCGGATAGGCAGGTCCTTGGCGATTTCCTGTGGTGATGTTATATGAAGCTCTAAGACTCATGCCATTGTAAAGACGGAAGTCTCTTTTATATAAGAGACAAATTTTGAGCCTGGCTCACTATGCAAAGTCTACGAACGGCGAGCTCAAACTTTTTCCTTCGAAAGGTACACCACCGTAGACCTGTTCTGGAAGCTTCGTTACTTCATAGATCTATGTGTCTCGATGTCTGATTTAAGAAACTAAAAACCGGAGGATTTTAGCTCTTGTCGTTCAAAAGTTATTAAAAAAACATCGATGGAAATGGACAATACATTAGGTACCTTATTTTTAGTGTACAGCTATACTTTCAGTAAGGGGACACCTTCTATATCCTGATCGGGATATATATCCCGATTGGGATATAGCTATATCCCGATCAGGATATAGAAAAAAAGTAGTATCCCGATCGGGATATAAAACACGAAATTTCGTCG